CTGTCAAAGAAACAAATCATCATCGTTTTCACTTTTGATTTGCTCATTCTCGACTTCTTCGGTCTGGCTGCACCAGGAGACAGCCACTGTTGACTTTGTCGTTTTGTTTCGGGATCGTACTAAAAATACCAACTTTCATCACCAGTAATCACACGATCGAGAAGAGTTAGATCAGCTTCAACCTGTTACAGACAATCCTGTGAAATGGACATTCGCACGTGTTTTTGCTCCGCCGAAAGGTTCTTCGGTACCATCTTTGCACACAGTTTTTTCATGGACAAATCATCAGTTAAAATTTTTCTAACGGTTTCTCGTTTCAAATTAAGTTCATCAGCCAATATTCGAACGGTTAAACGCCGATCTTGACGCACGAGAGTGCGCACACGCTAAACATTGTTGTCAGTTCGAGATTCAACCGGTCTCCCACTTCGCGGTTAGGTATTGTAGCAGTGAATCGGTTAATACAAAATAATTTAGGTCACAAATAAAGGATAAATCTAATAGTGTTTTTTTTATTCATATAAATAATTGATAAAGTGTAACGTATTGAAAACTATTTGGCTGCGATAGAAATTGATAACGTCATGTTACAATACTATTTTTAAACATATTAATGTAACACGGTATCGATACAAAATGTTTAATATAAACATACCATTTTTATTCTTTTGGGGGAAGTTTATACAATTTTAATGCACAGTACACAATATCGTTAGATTATCTTTGTTATACTATTTATGTTTTACAAGATACGTTTGTGCTTAACCAAAACACACTCGTCTATATTGAAAATCGGAGTATTGAAGAAAAAAACCGATGTCCATCGAATCGTTTGTAATCAAATTATTATAAATTAGAGCATACCGGATCCGGGACAATCAGGCCATGCTGGTTAGGTTTAATAATTTTACTGTTTATTAACTATCAAATCAGTTCATATGTTTATCAATAAGCTCGTATACCGTTATGGTTAAGCAGTCCTGTGTAACTAATATGTGTAACTAATATGTCACTGTGATGAACCTAACTCATACGGTGCTAGAATTACATTAATTTATTAAATCGAGACCGATTTATGTATGCACATAGAAGGTTAAGTAAGGTTCGTGCCATAAAGCAATCCACATATCATAGATATTTGCTTCGAGTATTTCTCTCCTATTAGGTCTTACGACAACAATTACTTTCTCTGGTATAATTAGGCATATTGTTTGAGAACTACGTAAATCACGCAGTATGCATTTTTCCAACGGAATTCTGAGGGGAAAAATAATAATATTTATTTTAATTTCACCGAAGTAATTGAGTATGCGGAGAGGTATACTCGTGGTATAAAAAATAGATCAAAATCCCCACGCGTGTTCGCAATATTTCCAAATTTCATTAATAGGTTACCGGATAATAAAGACCCTTAGAGGGCAACAAGATATCCTCCCACTCACATCAACTAAACAAATCACGCACATGTGTAAAAATCCGTTAACGTTCAAACAATTGGACACGAACAAAATCACGATAATATTCATCTGCTCTGATATATTACGTTCGTAATGTAATTATTGTAAAATAACACGTCCCTACCCTAAATTGCGTGAAGGTAAGTGTCCACGTTGCTGGCACGCCGTCGGCAGTTGATTCGAATAAAATTATGCTCATTGACATTTAAATAATAATGTGCAACTCAAACCATGAGCACATGCACAATTGCCAATTGTTGGGGGTTTGAGTCCAAAAACTTCCACCGAGTACTTATAGAAATAATATGCGCCAAAAAAGAAAAAATAATAATAAAAAAAATTGTCCGTTGGGTTACAAATATTACAGATTTTATTATTTTTTTTTTTTTTTGTTTTATTGCTTTAATTTTACGATGTCGTAGCTTTGCTATTAGAATGAAGAAAGATTCGGGCGTTTTTAACTCAGATGGGAATTAATTTTTAATTTTTTGAGGAGATGGCTAGTAAGTCAGTAGTATTGTTAGTCTATAACTAATATGACTGTTTTGTGCAATTTTGGAGATTTTATTTTATTAAGCTACAAAATATGAGTAAATTTTTTAAACTTTTATACAAATTTTCGATTTAAACTTTAATGGTCAAATTCAAAACCATATTGGTACTACAAAATAAAATATACATTTTGCATAGCAACACACCCACGCAATATTTAGGTATCATTAATCTTTTTTTTTTTTTTCTAAGCAACAATTTTCACAATAATGTAAAATTATTAAATATTTAACTAAATAATAATTTATGTACATTGCTTTTGACTTGAATACATTACATATAATTTAATATTTATACGTTCGAATTTAATTTTATACAGTAATTATAATGTATACAAGTGATCAATCGTTAAAGTTTATTCCTCTTTCAGAGATCTAAAACGTGTTTAATCATTATTTTTTTAGTAATATAAAGTTCAAATCAACACCAATGGAGAAAAGTAAGAAAACCTGTTTAGGTAGATGATTATTTACATATTTGGGGAACTTTGCTTCCTACCCAACATATACCAAAAATCGAATGCAATCGAGAAAATATAATTATTAAACGTATAGTGAACAAAACCGTGTACAATTAATTTTGAAGTTTTGAAAAATTAATAAACACAAAATAATAATGATATAGTATTAATTACGAAAACGGAAATAACTATTTTAATTGGTTTTGAAAATTAATCGTGTAACAACGTATCACATTCATAACACGATTACTCAACATTAATATACATAAGATATAGTATACTATTCATGGAACCAGCCAACGTATATAATAATAATGTGACCTATTAAATGTTCTAGAAAAGTAGTGAAATATGAAACAGTAAATTATATATTATATCCTAGTCGTGATAATGGTGCTTTGGTTACTTTATTTAGAATTATTTTATTATATTTCAAATAATATAGAGACAATTAACAAAATGAAAAATGAATTTTCGATTATGATTATCTGTACGTAACAGTTTATTTTGTCCATAGCCTCAGTCTTATAATCATTATATTTTTACCCAAATAATATGTTCATACAACTAAATGTCTTCAATTCCTACATGTAATTTTTTTTTACACCCAATAGAATATTCATTATGGTAATTTATTGTTGTCTTTAATAATAAAATGAAATAAAACTGTTGGTCCCTAATCAAACTTATGTAAAAATAAAAATCATATATATTCATCAATCTTAAGTACATTTTCGATTTACTCGATAAATCACGAGAAATAATAACACCAATACATTGATGGGTTTAAGGAAGGAGTTGGATGACCATCACCGGTGGTTTTTATTGTTAATTTTTTTTCACCATATTGATTAAACGTTTTGGTAATTTCACTACAACATTTATAAATACCTACATTATTAAGTTTTATATAGTGTTTTGCAGCAGCAATGGTGATATATTATAAAACTCGTATTATTTAAGTTTTTTAACTTAAATATTATTATTATCTTATTTTTCGGTTTTGGAACTTATGTAAGAATTATTTATGTATCAAAGTACCTATACCATTGAAATATTAGAAGATTACAATTTACTACAATTCATATATAATCAGTTTTGTTACAAGAACATACATTAAATTGTATGTAAACACAGCGAACATTGTTTTTTTTTACTTTCCAATATATTGTATAGTTATTTCCAAAAAAAAATTAAACGAAAAAAAGTTATATAACTATAATACGAATCTATAGTACCATAATAATTTTATATATTTTCCCAAATACATAATATAAACAAAATCAATAATCTCAAACATTTTATTTTTAAAATTCTTCAAAATTTAACTTTTATGTAAAAAATAAAACCATATTTAAATACACATATTTTTATATTTTAATTCTTCACTCCAAATCTAAAAAAAAATCTTTAAAACTCCCCAAAGTATAGTAATTGTTATCAATATTTTTTGGGAACGTATAAATTACCAGAACTCAAGAACTTCCTAATGCATTGAAAATAGGGAATTTACGTTACATGCTGTGGATGAAAATGATTTAATAGTTTTATTAAAACGAAAAATTAAAATAATCTATAATTTTATTTATGAATTCAGGGCTACAATATTATTTAGATTATCTTTGTAATGGTTTAAATATTTCTATTTGCATCGTAATAATATCTTTTTTGTAGTATTTTCCGGTTGTTCGATTAAATGTTATGATTGTAATACTCCAGTAAACTTTTTGGTCAGATTACATCCATTCACAAATAAATAATAATGAAAAAAAAATATATTTATGTGCATTGATTTACATGTTTTACTTATAAAAATAACAAAAATAAAGTATAGTATTGTACTATTATAAGACACATGATAATATCACGAATGAAATATTTTATTTTTTATGGAAAATATATGAAATGTTTGCATCGTTTTTCCCATTGAGTTCACATATAACCGATGCATAAATATCACCTGAGTCTTACATATTATTTACGAATGTTCAATTTTACAGCCAACCAGAATAATAAAAGTAATAACAATCGGTAACTTTTGTCATAGCCATATTCATGCACAGTAGTGGTTTTAGTATATTTATCATGTGGGAATTATTTTATTTATTTATTTTTTTTTTTTTATATTTTTATTTTTATATAAACTGGTCGATAAATGGGTTATGCTCTGATAGGAGGGTAGGCTACGTTATTTTAACGTCTACAATATTATACTTATAAAATACAAGGTTAAATACGAAAAATAATATGTGAAAAAAACAAATATCATCATAACCCTTTAAATGGTTATTTATCTAAACGTCATAGAACCTTTTGACCAAAATGCTTAAGTTACGAGTAGATTAAAACTTACTTAAATATTCAAGCTTTATTTTCGTTGTTATACATGTTCGAAAGCACGTATATCTTAAGATGAAAACTTTTATAAACATTTAGATTTCATTACTTAAATACCCCTTTAAAATATAACTTTATAAATATTTTCAGTTGATTTATGTAACATAGCAGTTAAATTCATAATATCATATTACCTGATATCCGTATACTTCCAAAGGTTAGCCGTATATGTCAATCTAAAACATTCATACAAACACATGCATTAGAGATGTGCTCATAAAACAGTAACAAATGATAGAAAAAATTTAATCTGGCAAGTAAATGTATGTAACTTCAAACGGATATAATCTAATATATGTATAATAATTAATATATTCGTAAACTCTGGTCAATAATAAAAACTATCGATTAAAATGTGTATGCATTTGGTATTTTTCCCAATTCAGTCATTTACTAATGCAAAACGACATTGTAATTAAACTGGAATACGTGAAGATGCAGTTTTTCACAGGAAACACTTATTGAACTTTTATAAAACTTTTCGAAGTAAAATTATTTTGACAACTATACAGGATCAAAATTTTATATTTTAATTGTTTAATTATTTGATATAATATACCACACATAAATATTTTTGTTATCTTATGCGTAATTTTTTTAATTGAAACTTCTTCAATCTTACTATAGATATGAAAGGCTAGAGTGATTCCTAAATGTTTAAAATTTATTTTTAAAATCAACAGGTCCAAAATGCACACGTTATGAGTTTATTACAACCCTGCTTAAGATGGGATTGTCCGTGTTATCCAATTTATAACACTCATAATATACGTATCGATATTCTATAATATTACCATAGTATTTGAAATCATTTTTTCTTATTTAATTAATATTATCACTAAATATTTTATTATATAAATAGTTACATCGTATTACAAGTATATAAATGCAAGGTCCTCCGCAGAATTTTTTCTCGAAGGGGGGGGGGGCAGTTAATATCACAACTGTATATGGACCATAGAATTACTCCATCATATGAACCTACATCCACGATTGAAATCAAATACCGAACACCTTGTGATATTGAAAATTGACGAACAATTTTGTGTCATATTATAAGTCCTCCTTATTGCTTTCCAAGACTGTTATATACAATGCAAATAAATCCAATAAATTGCTAAAAAAATAATTATATAAAGAAGCGGGGGCCGTGGTCCGTCCTAGCATCCCCTGCGAGTGACATTGTACTAATGTAATACACTACTAATAATCTAGCAAATGTATAACTAAGAGTTTAAAAGTAATGATAAAAAATAAATTAAATATTTGGAAATAAATATTATATATTATTATATGTTTTTTTGAATAAAATAATTTATGTTCTTATTGATATTCTACAAACAATTTAATTACTACCAACATTTAACATTCTATTTTATTATTTTTCTATCACATTTTTATGGTCATTTTGGCATGTACGTGAAGTTGGCCCCCCTAAATCAAGCTAGTGACTCCAAACCTTCACAAATATTTTGCAATTAATTTGCTATAATTTGCTCTGTAGTTTTCAGAATTTGCATACCCATGGTTTTTCCGAGAAAACATTTTTGACTTGGTATACTTAAATCACGCCTGTATAACTTCAAAAAATGTTGAGAATTTAAAAAAAGCCTTAGTGGTTTAGTGTAATAAATTTAGAGTTATGAAGGAAATGTGATATTTAAATATGAGTGTTAATATTTACAAAAATATATATATTTTAGATTCATAGAATATTTCCCGTTGTAAGATGATGAAAATAATCGGATGTACAATATAACAATAATTTATTTATATCTATAATCATAACATATCAGAATCAGTGCTGCAATAACCGTGTATATTACGTGCATCAAATTCACGGGCTCATAGCTCCAGCCTATAATAGGACCCAATAATAATATTTAAAAAATATGTAAAAAGCAAAAAATAAAACCATTTTGTAATAATAATTACCATTCATGGAAATTGAACAATAATTGATTGATTTTGTTTTTTACACATTATCGTACATCAACGTTCCTTTGGCGGTCTGTTTAATAAAAATTCAAAATAATTTGGCTATAATTGATTAAATAAGTGGTTCTCAAACTGTGCAAATTATTATATTTATTAGTTATCAAGTAAAAACACTTGTATGATTAAAATTTTACGTGTACCTTCTCATCCAATCAGAGTGTTTTAGATTAATTTGAAGAGTACTAGGTTTTTAAGTCTCAGAGCATTCTTTCTGGTCAAAATTGTATATATAAATTAAACTAATCTTTTTGCAATTCAAATACATTCCTCTTTTACTTTATAAATATATTAAACAAAAAAGTGATCGAACACACTCAATAATTTTATAACACTCTGTGTATATAATATATTCATTTTAAATTCATTCTGAAAGACTAAAAAATGTTTTAATTAATATTTAATGTAAAACGTTTTGAAGAAAACAAACTCATATTTTTCAAATAATTCCTATATACACCCCCCCCCCCATTTTCAAAAAGTTTTAATATTAGAATTAATTTAAGTAACATTTTTGATGTCTTCTTTCTATATTTCTACCATTAAAACCGAAGTAAACTTAATTTTGTCAAAAAAGCCAATATTACTTTTCACCTATAGTAATACTTTAGAATAGAATTCCTAATTATTTTTTAACTTCGTTTTAGAATTAAATTATACAAAATCTTTATAAGTTATCCTATATTCAAGTAATAAATTTAATTATAAATAGTTTATTACTGTTTTTTTACATTTTTTTTTTTTTTTAATCATAAATCATTAACACACATATCTCAAACAATTTAGTTTTTTAAATATTTCTTATATTTATTTAAAATTAACTTAAAATAATTATTAAAAAAAAAAAATAAGGTATAAAATACTACTAATTATTAAAAATAACAATTTTAGATGTTCACATGTATAATTAAATTTAGATTTAGATTTATATGAATTCTTTCAGGATTTGAAATTTTTTGAATTTTTTGAATTAAATCATTATGTATTTGCCAACATCTATCTGCTCATCTTACATACGCGATATAATTTTCAGACTCATATGCAACTATTCCTCGGAGAATATACCTACAATGAACAAATTAAACATTTAATGTAATTATATGTGAATAAGCTTAACATTGATGTTTTAATAATTTAATTTATTTTATAAATTCTTAATAGGTAGCTGTAATTTATAAAACAATAATATATTTTTAAATATTATAAGAATTAACATGCAGTATTAAACTTACTTATCAGAACGATCACATAACTCGAACGGAAAATAATTTAATGAAAATTTATGTCCATCAGCTATCATATCAGTTTCAATTAATAAATGATTTTTAATGACTTTTGTAGATGTTATTATTCCATCGCAATTTTCAACGCATACATAGTGTAATTCTGATAAATATTAATTCAGAGCGTTTTGAAAATTGGAAAAATCATGCTTCATTTTCAGTATAACTGTTGGATTGCAAATTTCTCTTCTATTATTCTTACATTCTGTTCTTGGGCATTCAATACTTTCGATGACAGAAGGTGCAGTTTTTAATAAATTAATTATAATAAATGAAACATTGCACCTTGAATCAATTAATTTTACATTTGTAACACTTTGTTCTTGATGAAAAATTTGTTGAAAACACTTGTATTTAAACGATTATCTTAATTTCCAGAAAAATCATAGTTACACAAATTCTGAAAATAACATAGCAAATTATAGCAAATTAATTGCAAAATGTCTATGAAGGTTTGGAGTCGCTAGCTTAAAATTGGGGGGTTGTGGTGAAGTTGGCCCCTCGAACGGAAAATATGAATTTCCCAATAGCCACGGGTATGCAATTTCTGAAATTTAAAATTTACATAGCAAATTATAGCAAATTAATTGCAAAATCTCTGTGGAGGTTTGGTGTCTCTAGCTTGATTTAGGGGGGGGGCCAACTTCACGCACATCATTTTGGCATCTTCATACTTTAAACAAGTATATTTAACTCTGGTTCGAAATCTTTACAAACAATATTTCTATCATTAATAACGGATTTTCAGCTCAATATGTTTTTGGATGTTACCAAAAGTTTTTCGCTTCAATGTGAATCTTGATTGTCTTGACCATTAAAACTTAAATAATTTTTTATGAAAAATTAACAACGATATTCAATATAAAGGATTCTCGAGTTCGTTTTGTATTATTTTTCAAATCCATGGAATGATTTGTTATAATTTTGTAGCTAGTGCCGCAACTACATACTATGGGGCTATTATGCATATCTGAATTTGGGGCCTAAATATCTTTTCAAAAAAGTATTTACCCACTATAAATAAAATATGTTAACCGGTGTTTATATTATGAAAGGTAGTCTAGTGGATCTTTAATTTTAAATGACCTGCATTATTTTTTGCTATTTCTATTCTATGAATTAATATTACTATAGGATTATAAATACTTTAGTAATATAATAGTATTTATAATTAATGGTATTACATTTGGTCATTGACAACGAGTTAGTAGTTGAGTTTTTTATTTGATTATAAATATTTAATAATATGATAAATCTGTTTTTTATATTTATCAATTTACTTCAGTTAAAATATCTACAACCAAATCCATAATAATATATTGTGTGGGGCCTATAACGGTTTGGGGGCCGATGTGCAATGCACACCTTGCATACCCGATAGTTGCGGCACTGCTTGTAGCATGAATCCATAAACAAACTTTATTTAAGTAAATAATTATTTTAGCACAATTAAATGGTAAGTAATGTTCTTTTATATTTTTATTTCCGTAAGATATTTTATGTGACCAGAATTACGTGTTGGTCGAATTATGACAAAATAGGTACTTAGTTATTACCCGGTACTGGAAATGCTACTAGATTGCTGTTATTGTAGAAGACATATTGTACATTGATACCTTGTGTTATCATATTATGTTTTTTGTGTTTGCTGATAACAAAAACAAAGATCAAAATATTTGTCTAAAGGATTGATAATTTACCATCCTCAATGAAATATTATCTATATAATAATAGATTAAATTCATTATCAGTTGGTATATATCTCCTTCAACATTCGAATATCAAGGATAACGTCGAACGTATATAATAATTTTTTGTTCTATTAATATTGAATTCAACTGTTTTACATGTTAACGTCACACACTTATGATATACCACTGAAAATGTTCATTTTTATC